GGGGGGGTCTAGCGCGGAACCCCCCGAGGGCTGCACAAACGCAGGCGAGAGATGGGCCCTGTCCACCTGAAACGGCGCCCCAACCCGCGCCGGATCCGGTTCCCGTTTGCTAAGGGTGGACGGCTGAACCCCCCTTCCGCCAGGGAGGGGGACGCGCCATCGCCAGCAGACGCCATACACCCGCATGACACTCAGCACGGCTGCCAAGACATAAAACCCCACAAAGAGACAAGCCCCCCCCACACTGTTTAGAGTGCTGATGAATGTGCCCGACTCGTAGAGATCGATTTGAAACCCTGAATTTTGCACAGCCGCCTCTAGTTCCGCCACCACTGCTCGTTGCTCCATTGATAAATAACTACGAATAGGGAGCTTGCAAGCTGAACCTGAAAAGGCATTAGAAAGGTTGCTTCCATCGTTGAGCGCAACCTTTGGGGGCGCTGATGTATCGTCCGATCTCATTCCAGTTGTACTGCATTCCGTTTTGTTGATGTTCGAACTCTCCAAAGAACGCTCCGGATCTCTGGCTGCACCAGTAGATTCCTCAAGCAAAGAAGAATTGTCATAGATGATCCTGCGCCTTAAATCAGGTTCTTTTGCTGCCTCTAGATTCAGATAAAGAGCGTAGACTTTCTTTTCAACCTCTTTCACAAATTTCAATAAATGAAGAACATCATGTTCAGCCTTTGTATCTTCTGACTGTGTTTTCTGATCCGTTAAGTCCTCTGAAGCATATTTAATTGCTCTCTTTAAGTTATTTGAATATACTACGATTTTATCGATCTCATCCAGAATAATATTTTTGGACTTCACTAAGTTTTCAGAAAACTTCCTGTCCTCCTGATCGCGGCTTTCAAAACTTGTTGTATTCCCTGACAGGACCTCCTGTAAAATATTTTCTAAAGGATAATTAAAGCCAACTTGATGAGTCTGCTTAGGTTCTATTTTTGTATGGGTGTCATTGGAAACTGATATTTCTTCGTCGACAATTTTTGGCTTCACTTTCTGCTTATTGGCAGCTTCAGATTCCGTTTCAGAGTAACCTTTTTTTTTTACATCATTTTTTGTATGAAAGTTCACCTGCAAAGCTAATTCGTGGTTTTTCTTTTTATTCGCTAGACTCTGAAGCGTCCTGTTTGGTATCCCTCCATTGTCTTGAAGTAAAATTACCGATTTACCTGCTCCAAGCTTATCTTCTTTTACTTCTTGTTTATCTGATAGTGGATAAAACTTCTCGATCAGTGCGATAGTCACAGACCCTGGGTGCTTGACTTTCTCGATTTCTTTCAGGGCGTCTTCTTTTTTTGCTTTGCCTTTCTTATCCTCGAAAACACTAATGATATGATCTTTTTTGAAGTTGTCAACCTCAGGGAGATCTGATTGAATCAACTTAAAATCCCCAAGGATAGAGAACATAGAAATGCTTAACAAAGCATTTTGTGGTTTCATGCAGATCTGCGATAGCGTAGCACATGGTTCTCCTGATATTTTCCCATCCTTACCATTTACAAGGAATGGAAAATGTACAATAACTAAAAATAATGATAGGGCTAGCAAAAGGTGTAAATAATGAGTGCAAGATTTTGATCTCATGCCTCGCATAATGTTTATATTACCCTTGTGAAAAAGGAGTTAAACAAGTAATGAAGGCAATGAATTTAATGACGGTGAACATGGGTACTGTTGACAATAATCATGATAAGCAAATATAAATGCAGCAAGTAATGCACAATAAAGTATGGAAAGTAAATGAAATTAATGGAATTTCAGGAATTAATAAAAGACTACTACTTCAAAAATAAAAATTTGATAGAATAAAATAAGGAATACATTAGCTACGAATTTTTTAAAAAAAAGTGTATATATAATGATTTTTTTTATATAATAGATATAATTCACGTTTCCAACAGATCCGATGAAGGAATTGTGGATAATTTGCTCAAGCATTTTTGTGAATGGAGTGACTTAGGTACTCCATCACCTCATTCTCTGCAAGGCCATCTACACGAACCGGCACACGTCCGCCCTCTGAGGTACCTGTTCCAACCATCATTGTCGTTCCCCCTGTGCGCGGCAATTTTGGGGGGGGGAGGTTCCTCAGCTCCGCCGGTATCGGCGGCGGTTCGTCGTAGCCGACCTCCTCCAGACTTCGGCAGGGCCCATACGACTTCCCTGTTAACGGGTCGTGCGTCCTTAACCTAGGTTGTGGTATTTTAATCTCCGTCAGGACCATGGGCGTCGTGTTGGGAACCTCCGAGGGGATGGAGTGCCGACGGTGGATATCGGCCCGGTACGTCTCGTCAACCGCCGCACGGTTTAACATGTCGTTCGTGGAGAGCACCCGTTGAGGGCGCATTCGCAGCTCAACATCCGCCTCCGCTTTAGCGTGTATCAAAGATTCCTTAGAAGCTTTCAACACAATGACAACATGTTTATGCTTTAATTCAGATGCAATGTAAAGAGGTATTTTGCCATCCTTGTTGCTGAGCGATGCATTGGCACCTGCCGCCAACAAGAGAAACGTCGAATCGTGCCGACCTGCCTTAGCCGCCACGTACAGTGGAGTTTCTGACTCACTATTTAGTGCGTCGATATTGGCGTCCTTTTCCACCAAAAAAGGAATGAAATCTTCGTAGCCAAAACGAGAGGCGATATGCAATGCCGTTTCCTTTCTGGGGCCATTCACTTCATTCACGTTGGCACCATTATTCACCAGAAAACTGGCAACCATATAGCGTCGATTAAAAACTGCGATATATAAAGGCGTTTCACCATCCTTGGTTTTCAGGTCAACTGATGCACCAAAACTCAGCAACGATTGGATAGTCTCAACTTCTACGCAATGCTTCATGCAAGCAAAGTACAGAGGTGTGAAACCATCTTCGTCAAACTTGTTGATGTTGCTCTTATTCAGTTTCAATTGGAGATTATCGATGTCATTTTTTAAGATGCACTCTTGGAGTCTAAAGGACATCACGGTTTTAAGTATTTATCTTTGACTTCTGAATGAACTTTTAACCTCTTGGCTATTTGATGGACCTTTAATTATTTTTGTTGATGTTTCTTGTAAATTAAAAAAAAAAGCGTTTAGTTACTGATATTGTTATTAAAAATTGCTACACTGCCAAATATGAGCACACAAACACAAATGAAGATTGCTATAATGGTCTATGAAACCAACAAGTAGCACCTTAGGAGTAAATCATGCATGCTATCCATTTTAATTGAGGAGACTGGCTCATAAATCACCTGTAAAGTGACTGTGATATATTATTCTTAAAATTTATCATTATTCGTTTCGTTTATTAGATTTCCTCCTCCACAACAACGTACTCCTGAGCGTACGGGGTTGTTTCGGAATAACAGTTATTGCTACAAGTATATAACAGCACATTACTAAAGTGAAGCGTGTCATTTTTTTCCTCTCCTTTGTCCTTGGTCAAGAAGTACACAAGGGGTGAAGTAAGCTGAAGCTCAAAACGACGTTTGCCATTGCATAACGAACACAATGGCACATTGATCGCACTAAGTGAAGAACGGAGCGGCTCCCCATCTGGGCACCATCGCACGCACTGAGTCTCCACCTGTGCAATTCGCTCCACGTATTTCCGTACACAACGTTCAGCAGGTGTCTCATCATCATTCTCAAAAGACGTTGTATCGAGTGCAGCGGCTTCACCGTACTTTTTTTGTGCATCCCTTAGTTGATCCTCTATCGAGCCAAGGTTTTCCTTCTTGAGCTGGGGTTCAATAAACAAGCTGAGGGGAATTCCACCAGTGAATTGGGACCTCTTGGGGAGAACAAAGCAGCCATTTTCACACAACGTAAACGATGGCTCTTCCTTTATCGCTGTGGAAGGCAGAAGAAGCGATGTATCACATTGAGTATTGAATTTTGAATTCTCTGCTTGCACTAGTGCGTGTGCATCATTTGTAGAGTCAGTTGCACTCTGGGGTTCATCTACATCATCCCAGTTTGAATTTTCTTGAAAGAGTGCATTCGCACAATCTCCATGTTTAGCTCCATCTCTTTTCTCGGTAGCTCTCCTGTCCTGCTCTGAACGCTCCACCATCTCCTTGTAATAGCCCAGGTTAAAGTTTTGACTTCGCAACGCAAAGCAAAAAGAAGTGCAAACAGGCTTTGACGCAATAGGGGGGGGTGCATTCTTTTTATTTCCCGAAAAGACACCTCCTTTAGGAGAGGGATGTGAACTTGTACTACTAGGGCTACGTATCACGCCACACTTTGCACATGTCAAAAGATACAGAACGCGATCATAGCAATCGAGTGGTGCGTATAGCTGTGCTAAAATTGAAACGTGATCAACAAGGCCGCATTTAGGACAACAAAAAGAGGTTCTCGCCGCTTCGTTCGATACATCTCGAAACAGTACCGCATGGCCACCAACTTTACTGGTATAAGGGTCCATAACATCTTCCATTGCGTCTTTGAGCTGTGGGACCCCTAACCAGATTTTCTGTTCAGTGCTCATGATGAGAAAAGAGGAAAAAAAATAATCATAAATTTCGAGTGTGGTTCTTCTTTCTCTTAGAATAAAAAAATGGCTGATAAGCTCACAAGACCTATACCAGAAAAAGTAAAAATTAAAAAGGGCATGGAGAAGTACTTCCAAAATAAAGGTACTGAAATATCTCATGAATCTTTACCCATATGTGTTCCAAAATAGAATAAATGCCAGTCACTGTTAAGAGCTAGAAAGCTTCTACATTTCAAATTCTAAATGCAGAGCTAACATTAACCTAAATATTTGGAGAATGCTGCTATCTATTTATCATACCTGTTTATACATCGCATCAAATCTCAGAAATTCCAAGATACAAATTCTCTTCTCGTGACGCATTACAAGATTGTAAAAGCGGCTTGTGTAAACTACAAGCTGTGAGATCAGATATTTTCTGACGATACGTCTCCGAGAAAGACATGAATATCAAGACCTTGTAAAATTGTGCGAAGCTAAACACATAAAATGATGCAGTCACAGAAACCCCTTTCAAGCTTTGATATTTTTCAATATATATGTATATATATATATATTGGAAAGCAAAATATGGTTACTTGTGATCTATGTATTCAAACAGACTTGATACATACGCGCTAATAGAAGATGTGATGATTGGCCCGGCATTTATATTTTCACACATGCTAGAAAGAATTTCTACGACAAAATTACGAAGTGGGCCTCTAGCAAAATATTTAATTAATGCCCTCGTGAGCATCTCATACATAACTATGGGCTGAGGCGGCAACACAGAAAGCGCCATCGCACCGCTAACCTTTAAACTTTGAAAACTTATGAGGCTGATTAATAATGCGGTGATAACCCATATAACGTCTGACATGTGTGCTGTACACTGAAGCGCACATCTTAAGAAGATAAATAGTAAGTTTTTGACATCGGGTGTGATAGCACTTTCACCACTCTTGTCAGCATTCAGCATGTGCCGACGCAGCATGAGCAACAAAACACGCATATAGATCCGTCGTGACGCAGGCAACATTTTGAAATGATTAAAAAAAAAGAAGATATTATAATAGTCCTTTGCAATACCATCTACGATCAATACCTCCAGGCATATGACTTCTGCTTCACTTAATACATGACAATTATCCAAGAGACCAGAAATCAATGCGCTTTGGTTGTCTGCTGAGGTTTCTCTGCTATTAATATCTTGCTCATTTCGTAAAAGGACAAAAGCTTGCGTTACCAGTCGCTCGGCATGCACGCGACTTAAGAGAAGTTGGACCAGAATATCCCCCTCGAGAAGAAATAGACCCTTCGAAGAAAAATGTGGTTCATCGGGCGTACAGTGGTTTGGTGAATTTTCATTGTGAATCAATGAATTATAGTCCTTAAATACGGTTAAAACATCCAGTGCCTCAGTCATGAGATTTTTTCTCCAATCGTCATTAATAAGCATCCGAAGCATGTCCCACTCTCTCCCTCCAACCATCGTGTTGGATATAAGAACACGGATAAGCTCGTAGCCATTGAATGTCAGCGCTCTAGATAGTGTAACTTTCAGTATGCCATTCCAGAGTCCCTCACATATCTTTGAGCAGAACTTCTCATCATTAGACCAGGAAGAAGTTACCACGCAGGCGGTACACAACAGTTGCATTGCTCCGAAAGAAAAAGATAGGTACCCCCAGGATGTCCCTAGGTGTAACTCCTCAATAAAATGCTGGGAACAATACAATGGCAACCACGTTATCTTCTTCAACACAGAAGAATTAGAACCCAATAAGCTGATACACGAATGCGCAGCAAGGTAGGTGAAGTGATCAATAGACATGAGATTCCTAATCAAATTCGATAGTAACCCGTCGACAGCAAAAATTTCAGCATTGTAAACCTGAAAGGTTCTACAACACAATAGCTTGCAAGTAATAGCAAGGCTAAAAGTATCGCAAAACTTGGTATACAATATAGGTCGAAGAAACACGCCTGAGTGTTCACTCAGAACACTCGTACGGGATGACTTTAGGGAGCTTATAGCAGACAACTCAAAGTCTTTTAAATACACCAACAAATGATTTATAAATGGTACAAAAAGAGGTACCGAATCTGCATACCAGGAACTCATCTTAAAGTTGATGCCTCCATTCGCACAAATTATAGCAAAAGAACTCATCATATCATAAAAACACCTTGGAGAGGACGCTTGCATGAGTGAGAACTTTGCACATACCGTTTGTGAATAAAACTGTAGCAAATCCAAGTAGACATCTTTTTCCCTAGCGTGACTTAAAAACTGATGATGAAGGCAACCGCACAAAGGAAGTATACGCTGTTGATAATGAAGATTTTGACCGCTGAGAACAGAACCATTCCTTTTCATAAAAGAAGGAACTACATCTTCATGTATGGCATCAAAAAGGATTGAAGCCGTATTGGTCAACGAGGTATTCTTTAAAGAGTTCGAAAATTCAAAAGATGAATCTGAAAGGGGTGTTTGAAATATTTTCGTCTTTGTATGTAAACCATCATCCTCAGGATGGCATAGCATGGAAGATAGTAACCATAATGAGTACCGCTGTTTATCAGATGAAGTATTGCTATTAAACTCGTCGAGCTGGAGTATACTAGAAAAGGTCATCTTCACGTCAAGCCATGTGCCAAGTGTGAATGAAACAACTTGGCTCACTTTAAGATAGGTCCTGAAATGTTCTAAAGTCCCGTGTTCTAACAAGGACCGTAGCCATCTATTCCAGTGTGACGTCCCTCCAAAGATTCTGACAAGAAGCAACAGTGTTGATTCCTCAACAGAATTCAATTCTTCAGTGCTAGAAAGTCTCTCTAATGCAGCTTCAATCACATGATCAAGATCCTCAGTATCATGAAAGCCATAATGCTGAACGATTTTCAGACAGAGAGGGATATTACTAAGCAAGACGTTGTCACTGTAGATGTTGTGATCGGTTCTGTTGAGATAAAACCAAGCAAGTAAAAATAAAGTACTGTATTGAAAGCATTTGACAAAATCATTATCTATAGAGGAAACAGAATCTAGCAACAATTCTAGGCGCTCGGCAAAGGCTATAGACACCAAAGTAATATAGCTGTCTTTGTGTATTTTGGATCGCATTAGACACTGCGCAAGTGCTACAACACCATGGACATTGATTTTCTTGAGATCATTCTCGTTGCATAGGGTATGAAACAAGGAAAGACCAGTTTCTCGGTTGCAACACTCAAACATATCTGTTACAAACAACTCAGAAAGATACTCATCTTTTATGAGCTCAGACGGCGAAAGTGATACTGCGCAGACACCATAAGGCATATAGTGAAGCACAGACGAAGCATCGAGATTACGAGAAACATGATCAAAATGTGCGCAATTGCTGCTATGGCCATTAGCATCCAGCCCTTTGGTACAGTCAGCTATGCATACTCGATCATGACCAGGGACAGGTAACGAACTGTCTTGTTCAGTGGGATTCATCAAAAAATGAATAAACTGCCTTGAGACTTCGATTTTTTCCCACAAAAAACATCCTGATGTCTCACACACTAGCCTTGAATGTGAAAGATAATTGAGTATGATTAAAGCCAAAAGGCATTTTAGCCATGCTTCACAGGGAGTACGCGATAAAGTTTCTACCGCCTTGTGAATTAAACTGGGATCATTGGAAGTCTTAAGTAGAAGAAAGTAAGGTGACTGATCCCATCCATGTGGAAAGAGATGGTCAATTCCGATCCTGGAACCGTTATGCGTAAAAATTGATTCAAAAAGACTAAAATAATTACTTAAAGACGTCTTCTCTTGAATGAATGTAGTTAGTACGCCAAGCAGTCTCTCTTCGGTCTTACACGATAGTTGGAGTTCATCCGAAATCAAACATAAATACTCATTGCATGTTTTAAGAATGGTTGAGCTTGAGTTGCTAAGCTCGCAATTAAGATTGGCCACGATGCAGTTGTATTTTTCAGAAGTTAACAATAAAGCAACTCTGGGCTTATGAGGTGATTTAACTAATTTCAGTATGGTTAGAAGCAATGTTTCAACAGTATTAAAGCCGTAACGTGGGGCATAACCTTCTCGCATCAAGACTTCACTAATGATAATTTCCAATAGTGAGAAGTCCGTATCTACAAAAGAATATGCACGAATTGAGTTAAAACGGCAATCTAAATCTATAAATAAAATAAGCAATTCAAAAAGTGTCGGCCCGACTGAAAATAAATCGAGTGAAAACCCACAGATTACGCAGTGTTTTATCGCTGATAAAATATACAGGAAGTCCCCCTTAAAGAAATCATCATAGGCACATTCACTCGGAGATGTAAAAATAATTTTAGCAAACGCTTTTACGAAATGGAAAACACTTTGGGGATTAATTCCGACAAAAATGCTCATGCATTTCAGCAAAGATGAATGTAGTTTCATTAGATGTTGAATAAAAACACAAGAGTAGGCGCCGACTTCGGTCAATCGCGTTAAAAAAAGAAATGCAGCTTCAAGAAACGCATAAAAATCAGTGTTTTTTAAGGGTTCCGTATTATGGAGGGCTGATAAATATATATTCTGCATTGCCTTCCTAAGAATCGATGGTAGTTGAACAAATGCTCCATAAAAGCACACATCCGATTCAAACTCATAAGAAACACATGGTTCAATAATCTGAGAAAAATAAAATATAATGCTACACATTAGATTATATAAATCCTTATGACAAATGATACTAATGGGCTGAAAACATGAGCTCTTTGAAAGACATACCGTAGAAGCCTGCATCAACTTGATGAAAGTGGAGAGAGGCACCACGCCATTATAGCTAAGCATATTTGTCGTAATAATTTCAAAGGAAGACATAATATACAACAATGGAGTATCATCCATCATAATATGGCACTTAGAAAATTCATCAAGTGCTATAATAGCTGTACATGCATTTTCGGTTACAGACAACTTTCCATTTATATCCGTTACAGCCTCACATAATCGATATAAAAAGAAATTAGCCATAGTTTTAATATTTTGATTCATATGATATAGTGATAATTGATTAATTGGTATCATGGGTACGTTACGATACCATGATTTTTCAAAGAAGTCCATTCTTTTGAAATTTAAATATTCTAAACACGATTCTTCAATGACTTGTGTAGAGCACCAATAAAGCAAAGTTTTCAGTCCTCCTTTCTGCACAGCTACATTATCCGAATCATAACATCGGATAACGTATGATAGTAAATCGGAAGAATAAACGCAAGAAATCTGGATCAGTCCTAAAACAAGCAACTGAATAGAGCTATTGAATTTCAAGTCGATTGGTGACTCAGAAACAAGGGTGTAAAGTTGATAAAATAAATGTTCTATTACGCTTTTTTGTGTACCTAATTCCATGAAACTGGTTTTGAAAACGTTGAGAATTCCGCAAACAGTCATTATACAACGTTTCTGTATAAAGTGATTGAATAAGTCGAACATCATAGGCTGTATGTTGAGTATCTCATGCACTCGTATCGCTTTAAGTGCATTAGCAATTGCCAAAAATGCATATGATCGTATTGCCGCGTCACCTGTCAAGCTATAGGAAAAAACAATGTCGACATGTCTCCACCAATTAATACTCGTTTTCTGAAGAAAGCTCAACAGCGAGGGAACTAAAAACTTTCGTGTTGGTGTATTTTTAAGAGCGAGTAATACTTGTTGGCATACATCTGCCTCTTCAGAAAGTGAAAACAGAGGATCAAGTTCCTTCATCCTGACAAAGCATGAAATAAGAGATGGAATTGGCTGTGAGGGATCCATTTTGTTAACCAAGAAACAGTTTACCACTTCTTTGTCTAGTAGCTCCCTTAAATGTATAAACTCGGAGCATGTAGTACCATTTTCAGCTAATCTTTCTGAACGGTCTATTATAAATGGAGCACAGGCATCGAGGACTACAGAAAACGCATATAAGCTCAACCTCCTTTTGACAAGATGCAAAAAAGGAATTGGTGCTTCGTAGCAATTGGTAAAGCACACCAATAAACTTGAGAGGTATGCATTGGCTCGTAATAAATCACTTTGCGTCCATAACTGCATGTTGTTCATTATGATAGCGAGCATCTGGGAACACAACTCTTCCTCAGAAAACATACCAAGTGACTCTATAATTAATCGGAAGCTATTTTTGAAGGAAATATCTACAATTACCTCCTCCTTTGATAACAGCACAACAGTCTCCTGTCCAAAAATACGGAAGGCATTTGCTTTTTCCTCAGCTGGTATATGTTCAATCACATGCGCAAAATGATGAAGGACACTTAATTTAAATTTTAGATTATCGCTTTCACGGAGTTTCTGAAACAATACAGTCCAAACGGTCGAAGGCATACGAGAAGAAAATAGTGCCACGAGAACTCCTAACGAGTCATTTGCGATCCCAGGCTGGGAGTGTTTCAATAAATCACATGCATTCCGAAGCTTTTTGGCAACAGATTCAGGGTCGTTGGAAAGTCTTTGGCGTAGCAAACAGATATCCTCGATTCTGTTGCAATAAAAATCAGTCATCTATCATGGATGAAAAAAAAATGTATTAAAGATATTGATATGTAGGTTTATAGCTTTCAAGAAAAGTAAGATGATAGCGGTGGTTTTGTCTTGTGTTGTTGTCTTTGGAAGCAAATAGACGCATAAATGTTCAGAGGTCTCACTTCTCAAAGGTACGCTGAAAATGACACAACTCATGGTAACAATATGAAAAGTTTTAATAATATCGCCCCCTTTCCTTTAGGGACAGGGGTGGGGAAAAATACAACAACTGACCCTGGAGGAACGATACCCCTTCCACAAACACACAATTTCACCCCCCACTCTCCCTTAACTTGGGGGTTGGTGAAACTGTAAAAGCAATGAAACTTGTGAAATCAAGAATCCAAGTTATCCGAAGTATTCCCCTTAGCGGGCGGCAAAGGCATCCAGAGGGGAAAATATACGCTATGAGGCTCTCGGGGGCCCATTTACCCCAGCCTATTAAATCCCAAGCGCAAAAAAACATTCAAGACTTCATTTCTCGCCGTACGAAAATAAACCAACCATTTCCACAAAACCTAGAGCCATGGGGCTTTTTTATTTGGAACATTAAAGCATTATATTATTGAAAATGGTGTTCGTTTTATAGAATTAAAATAAATCATTTTTCGGTTAGAGTTGGCCTAGGGAACCATTCTTGTTTTTTTAGAGAAGTGAAATAACACCTTTTTTCTGTAGTATTTTCAGGTGAAAAGCATGCTAAATTTTTTTTATAGCCCTGCCCATATTTTTATTTTGAATACTTTTTCTATAAACCCCCGAAGCTTATGATTTATAAAACTTTAAAAATGTACAGGCAAAGAATCTACACATGACCAAGGGGATGGCGGTTTGAATTCTTTTTATTTTTAGAGAATTTATCATAATTAGAAACAAATAATTTATTATTAATATGTTCTGTTTTTATTAAAATGCTATATTATATTGGATGAAGTTCATGAAGAACTTTCCGTGTCGACGATTTTCCATTTCAGCGCCAACGGATCATAAGAAAACAGTAATTCTAGCAAAGTTCCCCCCCTAGGGATTAAATGATTTAACCGTGCAATATCTATAATCCAGCATTTTGCGTTCCAAATAGGGCGTAAAAAAAAATATGTTATTGTTATAATATTAAATTGATCGGATTTCAAGGAAAGCTTTGGAATTGTAGAGATGTTCGATGCTTAATTTTTTGGGATTTAATCTTGCTTATTTAAAGACGATTATGAGTTTATAAGATCGATTCGGAACATAAACATTGCTTAAAAGGATGGGCGTCTTCACATTTATGTTGACGGGAAATTGGCTTTCAATTCGGACAAATGGTTCAAGGGAAACCATCGATGACTTTTTATATCATATTTAAGACATAAAAAAAAGAAATGGTTTGATTTTTTTGCGGACAAATTGGAATTTAATTTTTTTTCACAAGGACTTCCATAATTTGGTTAAGTTTTATTTTGTCTGGGTGGGGAATTTTTTGGAAGATGGCCAAGACAAGACTTGGGGCACAATACTTTAAAGCAAGGGCTTGGATAAAAATATTTTTGGGAAAACCCCAATATATATTTTTAGAAATGTGCAATGCGATGGTTTTTATGTGAAATATAATAGAAATCCCTGTTTATTTAACTTGGGGCCAATTCTAAAATTTGAATAAACATTTCTTAAAAATATTTAGAATTTGATTTCAAAGTTTTTTCGCCGATCCGGTCCGTCTAAACATGGTGGAATTCTTTTATATACTATTTCATGTCGAGTTTAACTTCCCATTTTGCATTAAATTTACCATTTTTTACCCTGAGTTATAAATTGTTTTGTGGAAATGAAATAAAAGCCGCATAAAATTTAAAGAAAATTGGAAAAGGCTTATTTTATAACACAGGTTAAAATGGGGTTTGGATTTTTGGATGGTAACAATTTAAAAAAATCATCATGATATTTTTATCTAAATTTGAAACCCGCGTTTATTTTTTAAAATATTAATATTTTTAGAAAGTTAAAATGTTACGAATTTTTTTTCTTAAAAATGGTGGAAGCAATTATGTTTAATAATAAAGAAGAGCGTGTTAAAGGGCACGGGTTCCGTGGGCGCCAGTAAACCCACCGGATGCTTATATTTTCCGAATAATATAAGTTTGCCTAATCCGAGCGAAATGGAACTATCCATAAGGTGAATTTTTTCTCAAAAGATCCCAATTGAGGGAAAAATAGGTAACCATAATGATCGATGATATTTTTAAAGTAAATATTTTACTTTAAATAATTTTTGTTTTTTGCGAACCGTAGTGTTTGATAATTTATTTCTATTTGGGTTCTCTTCTTGCCCGAAAAAAACATTTCAAGCGTTAACTTTGTTTATTTTTATAAATAATTCAATTCCATTTGGAGATGCAGTAAATTTGTTCAAAAAGTTGATTTTCCTAACATTTTTACGGATTTATCACCGAAAGGCGTTATTTTTTTTTTAACAAAAAATATGTGGGACGTTTGTGCTGTTTAATGTTTTTTACTTCAAGAACAGAGGTCGACCGATGAATTAATTTCCATGCAAAAAAACAGGCCACTGCGAGAATCGAACTCGCGACCCCCACTTTACGAGAGTGATGCACTGCCACTGTGCTAAGCGGCCATGTTAGCCCGCTTGCTGTCTTTACCATATATTTTATATACAACATATACAAACATAAGGACTTTCGACGAAGCAGTGGCCGCTTGGTCTAGTGGCATGATTCCCGCTTCGGGTGCGGGAGGTCACGGGTTCGATTCCCGTAGCGGCCCTTTTTTATTTGTTCTGAATAACCTTCGGGGGGGGAGGGGAGGGTGGCGAAATACAAAGGGAATGAGAAAAGGAGGGGATAAAAATTCATGCGGCTAGGGGATTCCACTGAAAAGACATCAAAGGCAACATTTTTTAACATAATTTTTTATTTGTCACTATGTGCTGCACATATCCATTGATTTAGTAATAAGTTAATTTGGTTCCAGCTTCCACCACTGGTGTAGGCGCTTTTTTACTGAAAATATCATGAATCCTCTTCTGCTTGAGGATGTCTCTTTCTGAAAGAGACGGCCGAGTAGACTCAATGGCTTCGAGGACGTCCTTGCTCGACAACACCTCCTTGATATTGAGATGGGAGGCCAAATTTCGCTGCCCCTGGATTGAGCGTCTGATCGAATCAACCACCTTGTCACGAGAGGTGTTTGGACCTACATGTGCTATAAAGAACGCGTTTGAACCATCAGATTCCTGTAGTTCATCATCGGCCGCCGCGGCGTTGGCGCTTAGGGTCGCAATTATACGCTGGCTCACGAAGGAGTTTGCTGTTGACACCATAGCAGCCAGGTCGGCCGGGGTCCAGTTGACTGTAAGCTCGGCAAAGTGATTGAGTGTTGTGTCGTCAAACGTGACGGACAGTTTTTCGAATAGATTTTTTAGAATAGAAAATCTATCAGAGTGGGATGGAATGGCGCAGAACACTGCCTTATCCAATCGCCCGGGACGCAGCAGTGCTGCGTCGATCAAGTCAGGCCGACTCGACGCGGCGACCACATACACGTCCTTGCGCCCCTCAACGCCATCCAAATAGCACAGAAGTTGATTCACCACACGGTCCGTCACACCTGAGTTGTCTATCCCACGCTGGGGTGCTATTGAATCAAACTCGTCAAAAAATACAACGCACGGTGCCGCCGCCTGGGCGCGTTCAAAGACATCACGAATTTTTTGCTCACTCTGTCCAATGTACTTACCAAACACCTCAGGTCCGTTCACAACGATGCAGTTGATATTTTCCGCGTTCACCAGAGCTTCTACAATGAACGTCTTGCCACAGCCCGACGCTCCATAAAGCAGGATGCCATTACGTGTTTTGAGTGGGAGACGGGCGAACAGATTCGGATGCCTCATTGGCAAAATGAGCGTATCATATAAAACCTTCTTAGCTTCAGAGAGGCCACCAATGCTCGCCCAGTTGAGCTTCTCACCTTTCAGAAATTTGATGTCGGTGTGTGCGAGGGGCGTGAAAGTGGAAACCGCATATTCCACATGCTCCAGGAAGGACCCATCTCCTTCCTTAGAGCCTACGGAGTCAAGCTTGCTCTTGATTCTCAGCGACACTTGCGTAATATCAAAAGGGGTGTAGTTATCCATCAGCGCCGCCATCTTGCCCAGATCCTTGTCCGTCACTTTTTGGAAAAGTTGTTTCAGCATGAGACGGCGAGTGTTCCTGTTGAGGGTGTTGAGAACAATAAACTTTTCAAAGAACGCCGCCGAGCGAAAGCAGCTATTTATTGACTCGCGGTGGGTACAGGTGGCCACAATAACTACATGTTTGCATGCAGCAGTAGACAAAAGGGTTGAGCTTGTCGTGAGGAAGGCCTCCAGGGTGGCCTTCGTAACCGCAGTCATCGCTTGCACGTTGCCATCTTTTTGCTCTGGGGCAATGGTGTCAAAATCGTCCAAAACCAGCACGGAGGGGGCACACAGAACACACTCAACCAGGGCCGCACGCAACTTGGGGAGCAACTGCTTGCCGGCGGTGCACTCCACAACGACCGTGTGCACCGTCGGGAGTACCTTCAGGACGCACGAAACCAACGTGCTTTTGCCGCAGCCTTTGCTGCCGCACAGGAGAACATTTCCGCCCGTCCATTGGGTGCGCTCAAAGGTGTAGCGAAGGTGCTCCAGCAACTCACAAGGCACGTCTCCGTGCACCTCGCTAAGTTTTTCTATGCTTAAACTCGCCTCCGACAAGGGCAGCGCGGAGCAGGGTGGCGACGTTTCGGGCGATTCCTTTGGCACAACGTCGGCAGGGTGCGCGGTCGCGTCTTCCTTTTCGGCAGACCCGCTAGCGGCCTCCTCCGGGATCACCAACACGGTCGTCGTCTGATCCACAAACGAGGCGTGCGCTATCGCCACCCGTTCATCATGCGGGGCCGATTCATCAAGAACCACACGAGCCTTTCCCATGTTAGCTCGCAAAAAGGACGGGGTTAGTTTGGCGTCCTCCAGCGTGGATAACGTCTGAAGATCAAGCGCGCTGAACTTGAGATGCTCCTGATTCATCCAGTAGAGGGATTTTGCGGTGTTTGGATGGACCGAGATCACCCATTGCGAGGCATTGCCTTCCGTTTGATGGACACCTTTGCTACCCAGATTAGCGCTTTCGAGCATTGGGCTGCAGCGAAAGAAGCCCCATCGTGGTCTCTGCAGCACCTCCTTATTTGCCTCGCTTGAGTCTTGGCGAGGACGGACGGCTACGATGAAGTTTGTGCCCTCGAACATTGAGGCACATCCCTGTGTGATTTCCATTCCTTCGCCTTCCTCGATCTTTTGTACGATAACTTTTGCGTGCGCACCGGCATAGATGGTTGCCGTGATGACCATTTTGGGAAAGACCACCTGCACGTTTTGAAGAAGCTGGTTTTCAATGCGCAAGGCATTTTGTTCTACCACTTCGCTGTCATCCACGGTGAGCGGGGATACAAAAACTTTCGTTGCGCGGGGGATGTTGAGCAGTGGTGTGCAGTCAACTTGATCATTCTCGTGCAATCCGAGGTCGCTCGCCAAGTTGTGTGAAAGAAAAAGTTTCTGCTTGCCTTGCTGATGAGGCCGATGTGCTAGGCAGCCCACAAAAACGACACTTCTGTCAGCCTTTGCTAGGCGAAGCGGCAAAACTGATGGAAGTGCCCCAGGGTAGAGCGGTCTAACCACAGTCTCGATGAACACATTTGAGGAGATTACAAAAAGATCGTGGCGCGTGTAATCTACCGCAACTAGAAGTGAACCAGAATTCATAATTTTGAAGCTTTGCTTGTTGATTCTATCAACAAATTTTACTTAGTTATGACCAACGAACCTCTCAACTCAGAGAACAAAATGATAGAATGAAGATTGTAAGTGATGTAGCACACACACAAACAAATATCTATAGAAATGAAAAAACGTAATACTCGAAGCGTGGAAAATAGTCGTGTCATGTACGCAGGTATTTTTAACTATTCTTGGCAGGAACAAAACCCCACCGCATTTTCCAATACTCTCTGTCTTCCGTAGATTCCACTCCACGCCTGTCAAACAGGCGGGTGATCACGTCACCAGCTTTGATTTCCCTGAGCGATATGAGATGAGCAGAGACAACAGAACTATCATGTGACTTGACGCCGAATTTAGAGTTTTCCTCTTTCGTTTTGCATACCATGATGCGAGCATTGGGGGAAAAGCTGTGGGTGCAAAAGTCAATCAACGGAAACAGGGTGAGACCATGGTCATCATCCTCCACAGCTCTCGAGAGGACCATGGAGATTCCCCACGCAACCGTTTTTGCAGCAAAATACGGGACGCTTTGCTCCAGACGACGCTGTAAGTTGTGTAAATGCACCCAGTTTACGCGTTGCTCCGCAGTTCGCAGCGTCGCCTTTTCCAAAAATGGGGCGTTCGGCACACCCTTCACATGCACCACATTACCGGCGTAGAGCGCATCGATCTCCTCCAACAGGCGGGCATCCACATTGCAGTCTCTTCCAAGCGCGGTGTCCTCGTCATCATTGTGCAGATCGTGCAGGAACTCCAAGTAGGGGCGGTACGGACTTCGGCGATCCTGCAGGTGGCGCACCACAAGCCCAGAGAGCTCACCTACAGAGCCAAGGTTCACGCGCGAAGTCC